GTCAGAATGGCTATCATCAACAAATCAACAAACAACAAGTGCTGGCAAGGATGCAGAGAAAAAGGGACCCTCATGCACTGCTGGTGGGAATGCAGACTGGTGCAGTCACTGTGGAGAACAGTACGGAGTTTCCTCAAAAAACTAAAAATGGAACTCCCATTTGACCCAGTGATCCCACTTCTAGGAATATATCCCAAGAAACTAGAAACACCAATCAGAAAGAATATATGCACCCCTATGTTCATAGCAGCACAATTTACCACAGCTAAGATTAGGAAACAGCCTAAGTGCCCATCAACAGATGAGTCGATTAAAAAACGGTGGTACATCTACACAATGGAGTACTACGCCGCTATAAAAGAGAAGGAATTCTTACCATTTACAACAGCATGGATGGAACTGGAGAGCATTATGCTAAGCGAAATAAGCCAGTCAGAGAAAGATAAATATCACATGATCTCATTCATTTGTGGAATATAATGAACAACATAAACTGATGAACAAAAACAGATCCAGAGATAGAGAAGCATCTATCAGACCATCAAACCTCAGATGGAAGGTAGGGGAGGGTGGGAGGAAGGGGGAGAGATCAACCAAAGGACTTGTATGCATGCATATAAGCCTAACCAATGGACACAGACACCAGGGGGGTGAGGGCATGAGTGGGATGGGTGGGGGGGCAATAAGGGGGTAAGGACACATATGTAATACCTTAATCAATAAAGAAAACAAACAAACAAATAACAAAAACTGATTATAAAAACAATCCCATTTACCATCGCACCAAAAAAATTAATATACCTAGGAATAAACTTAACTAAAGAGGTAAAAGACCTCTACTCAGAAAACTACAGGACGTTGAAAAAAGAGATAGAGGAAGACATAAAGAGATGGAAGAACATACCATGTTCTTGGATTGGTAGAATCAGCATCATCAAAATGTCCATACTACCCAAAGCAATCTATAAATTCAACGCACGTCCCATTAAAATACCAATGGCCTACTTCAAAGATCTAGAACGAACTCTCCAAAAATTCATCTGGAATAAAAAAAGACCCCGAATAGCTGCAGCGATCCTGAGAAAGAACAAAGTAGGTGGGATCTCAATGCCAGATATCAAGCTGTATTACAAAGCCACTGTTCTCAAAACTGCCTGGTACTGGCACAAGAACAGACATATAGATCAGTGGAATAGAATAGAGAGTCCAGAAATTAGCCCGAACCAATATGCTCAATTAATATTTGACAAAGGAGGCAAGAACATACAATGGAGCCAAGATAGTCTCTTCAATAAATGGTGTTGGGAAAATTGGACAGATATATGCAAGAAAATGAAACTAGACCACCAACTTACACCATACACAAGAATAAACTCAAAATGGATAAAGGACTTAAATGTACGACAGGAAACCATAAAAATTCTAGAAGAATACAAAGGCAACAAAATCTCAGACATATGCCAAAGCAATTTCTTCACTGATACAGCTCCTAGGGCAGTTGAAACTAAAGAGAAAATGAACAAATGGGACTACATCAAAATAAAAAGCTTCTGCACAGCAAAAGAAACCATCAACAAAACAACAAGAAAACCCACTGCGTGGGAAAACATATTTACCAACGTCATATCTGATAAGGGCCTAATCTCCAAAATTTATAGGGAACTCATACAACTTAACAAAAAGAAGATAAACAATCCAATCAAAAAATGGGCAAAGGATCTAAATAGACACCTTTCAAAAGAGGACATTCAGAAAGCCAAGAGACATATGAAAACATGCTCAAAGTCGCTAATCATCCGAGAGATGCAAATCCAAACAACAATGAGGTACCATCTCACACCTGTCAGAATGGCTATCATCAACAAATCAACAAACGACAAGTGCTGGAGAGGATGTGGAGAAAAAGGAACACTTGTGCACTGCTGGTGGGAATGCAGACTGGTGCAGCCACTATGGAAGACAGTATGGAGTTTCCTCAAAAAGCTGGAAATGGAACTCCCATTTGACCCTGTGATCCCACTTCTAGGAATATATCCCAAGAAACCAGAAACACCAATCAGAAAGGATATGTGCACCCATATGTTCATAGCAGCACAATTCACCATAGCTAAGATCTGGAAACAGCCTAAGTGCCCATCAGTAGATGAATGGATTAGAAAACTGTGGTACATCTACACGATGGAATACTATGCTGCTGTAAAAAAGAAGGAACTCTTACCATTTGCAACAGCATGGATGGAACTGGAGAGCATTATGCTAAGTGAAATAAGCCAGTCAATGAAGGAATAATACCACATGATCTCACTCATTCATGGATAATAAAGACCATCACAAACTTTTGAACAATAATAGATACAGAGGCAGAGCTGCCTCAAACTGATTGTCAAACTGCAGTGGGAAGGCCAGAGAGGGTTGGGGGGCAGAAGGGAGGGGAGTAAGAGATCAACCGAAGGACTTGTATGCATGCATATAAGCATAACTAATGGACATAAGACACTGGGGGGTAAGGGAGGGCAGGGGATTGTCAAGGGCGGGGGGTGGGGGAAGGACACATATGTAATACCCTTTGTAATACTTATTATAATATTTTTTTAAAAAGAATAAAAAAAAAAAAGAAAACAAAAACAAAAAAACAAAAAAAACTGAAAAAGGCAAAAGGCAAGTCAATATTACTTACTGGAGTCCAACCTTTAATTAGATTAAAAGGAGACAATCCAAGAAATTCTTTCCACTTTTTATGCCATTTTCCTTGTTTTTCAACAATAGAATGTGTTATAGTTGTAAGATCTTCTTCTAATTTATGCCTATAATAGCATAAAATAATTATTCAAAACACGAATATATAATAAAATTATTGAGTAAAATTTAAGAAGTTTGTAGAAAAAGGAAAGAAATAAAGTCAATACAGCACATATAAGTTGAATAAACTCTCATAATAAACTCTCAGAACCTAAAATACCTTTATTCCTTTTAAGACTAGAAAACAACTGGAGTGGCTCAGTGGATAGAGCATCATCCCATGGACGAAGAGGTTCTGAGTTCGATTTCCAGTCAGGGCACATGCCTGGGTTGTAGGATCCATTGAAGACTCCATTTAATAACTGAGTAACTGTTAGGGGCAGCCGATCGATGTTTCTATCTCTCATCAATGTTTCTATCTCTCTTTTCCTCTCCCTCTCTATCTAAAAATAAATATGGACACAGACAATGGGGTGGTGAGGGCCTGGGATGGGAGGAGGGCAGGAGCAGGCCAAAAGAAGTTATTGAAGGGGCAGGGGAGGAGGACCTATGTAATACTTTCAAAAATAAAGATTTTAAAAAATAAAATAAAAACAAAACAAATAAATAAAAAAGAAAGCAATAATACACCTATTACTCCATTTATCTTTAAAATACAATTTTTTTCAGCCTTGGGTAGTGTGGCTCAGTTGGTTGAGCATAGTCCCATGCACTGAAAGGTCACTGGTTCCATTCCTGGTCAGGACACATGCAGAGGTTGTGGGATCAATCCCCAGTCTGGGTGTGTACAGAAGGCAACTGATCGATGTTTCTCTCTCACACCCATGTTTCTCTCTCTCTCTCCCTCTCCCTCTCCTTCTCCCTTCATTTCAGAGAGAGAGAAAGAGAGGAGAGAGAAACATCAATGAAGAGAGAGAATCATTGATCAGCTGTCTCCCACACACCCCCTACTAGGGATTGAACCCGCAATCTGGGCATGTGCCCTGACCAGGAATTGAAAGATGACCTCCTGGTTCATAGGTCAGCACTCAACCATTGAGCCACAATGGCCAGGCAAAAACATATCAATAAAAAAATAAAATACAATTTATTTCCTGGTTCTGAACTCAAATCAAAATTCTACTCCCCTTATCTGTCCTGTCCATGCCTAAAGACAGCCCATACCTCTCAGTCACTCTGCTCAAATAAAAAACTTTTCTGAGCCCTAGTTTTGTTTTGTTTTTTAATTTAATTTCTCTAGATCCTTTTTTTAAAAAATTGATTTCAGGAAGGAAGGGAGACGGAGAGATAGAAACATCAATGATGAGAGAGAATCACCGACTGGCTGCCTCCTACACACACCTTACTGGGGATCGAGCCCGCAACCTGGGCATGTGCCCTGGACTGGAATCGAACCTGGGACCCTTCAGTCCGCAGGCCTATCCACTGAGCCAAACCAGCTAGGGCCTGAAGCCTAGTTTTATTAGTAGATCCCACAAAAGAAAAGCAATAGAAAAGTTAAAATTATTTCATAAAGAATTATCACTCACAGCAAATAATATATTCCAGACATAAAAAAAATTACATTAATTTTCCTTTCTACTTCATGTGTCTCTCTGAAAGCTAATGACAGGTTTTTGAGTAGTAGTAAAATGTTCACACTTGTTTGCCAAAGCTAAAGAGTTGTTAAACTACATGAGTTGTGCTGAGAATTTATTAAAACCATTCTACTCCTCACCCAATAAAATAACAGAGAATCTTACTAGTGTACCTCATATGCTGCAGATCCAATAATCTTTCTCTCTGTAATTTGGCCTCTTTTTCAAGGAAGCGAAGGTCTATTGTCAGTTTTGCTTGGTCAGCCTGACAACATTCATATTTCATTATTTTCAAGACTTCATTTAATAACTGAATAACTGTCAACAGGTTCAATTTCCCAGCCTCATAAACATTTCCTATGTGCAACTAAGGGTTCAAAGGGGGGGAAAAAAGTAGTAAACTATAAGTTCTTAACATAATAAACTACTATATAAACATACTTATATGTTTTACTATTATAATAAAAGGTTACCTTAAAGAATAAAAAAAAAAAAGTTAAATGTCTACCCCAAAATAACACTATGTAAATAATTTTGGTCCAAAGAAAACTGTTGTGGAACAATTAACATGCCATACTACAGTTTTGTTATGTAAAAAGTTGAAAACTGGAATAAAAGAAATGCAAATAAATGAAAGCAAAATAAAGATTAAGGAAAAAAGAGCAGAATTGGAGAAAGATTATGAATTCATGTCTTGTTTTGTTCCTGCAGCCTATCGGCTGAGGCCAGGCAATGGTTCAAGCCAGTTTGCTCTGGCATGGGGCACTATGAAAGACCCAAGGGGATGGGCCTGCCATAAATCCAAACCCATGTATGATAAATCATGTTTTAACAAAAGCTGCAAATTGATGGTACCTACAGGCTAAATCCAAACTTAGACATGATTTTTGACCTACATAGTTCCAGTGTTTTAAAATCATTTGGCCCTAGCCTGTATGGCTCAGTGGATAGAGCATCGGCCTGCGGGCCAAAGGGTCCCAGGTTTTATTTCAGTCAAGGGCATGTACCTTGGTTGCAGGCTCCTTTCTCCCTGGCTCTGTTCAGGGCTTGTGCAAGAGGCAACCAATCGATGTGTTTCTCTCACTTCCATGTTTCTCTCTGTCATTCCCTCTCTTTTCCACTCTCCCTAAAAATCAATGGAAAAATATCCTTGGGGGAGAATTAACAAGAAAAAAATCATTTTAATTAGTTGCCAATATTTTTAATCATAGATTTCACATAAAAATTACTATTTCTCTACCCAAAGCACGGAGGCATAGAACAGACTGACATTCTCAATGTAGGGTTGGGGGGATGAGAAGAGAGAAACCAAAAAACTTATATACATAGCCCATGGACATGGGCAATAGGGTAGTGAAGACCTACGGGGGGGTTGGGGGGGGGTACTGGCTGGGAGGAGGAGGTTAAGGGGTGGGGATGGGGGTGGGAAATACTGTAATACTATCAACAATAAAAAATATATTTAACAAGATTTATAAAAATTACTTCTCCAAAGACCTCATCACTTCCCACTTTATCCTATTACACACAATTAGTGTACTTCATTTATACACATTACCTGCCTAGTCCCTCTAGGACTCTCAGATCCTCATTTTTATGTGCTCTGAATGTGAAGTGCCTGTCATGTTACCTATGAAAGCTCTTCAGGGTCACAATATTTTATCTTTGTATCCCCTGTACTATAATCAATACCTGGCATATAGTAAATTATTATAAATTGTAAGTTTAATTTTTTTTAAAGTAGATGGAAGTGTCTCATAAGCAAGTGGAAATAATTTCTTTTAACTTTTTTAAATCCTCACCCAAGGATTATGTTCATTGATTTGAGAGAGAGGAGAAGGGGGGAAACATCAATTGGTTGCCTCCTGTACCCACCCACCAGGGATCAAACCCACAACCTAGATATGCAGCCTGACCATAAATTGAATCTGCCACCTTTTGGTGTACGGGATGGACTATGCTCCAACCGAGCCACTCAGCCAAAGAGCAAGTGGAAATAATTTGATGTAGCCTGGGTTAAAGGAGAGAGGCTGGAAATACCAATTTGAGAATCTATACTAATAAAAGAGTAATATGCTAATTAGACCAGACCTGCTGGAGACCTTCCGGACATCCTTCCGGACAAAGCCTGGGGCTTGGCCAGCCTGCAAACTGCCCCCAAACAGCCCTCAGCCCCTCATCCAGGCCAGCCATGCCCCCCAGCAGGGATCCTCACCCCGATGGGGGCGTGGCTGGCCTGCAAACCACCCCAGGCCCCTCGCCCAGGCTGGCCCCACACCCCAAGGGGACCCCAACCTGATCCAGGACCCCCTTCAGGGCAGACCAGCCAGCCCCCACCCATGCACCAGGCCTCTATAAAAGAATAATATGCTAATTAGACTGGGAGACGTTCTGGAAATCTTCTGGACGTCCTTCCAGACAAAGCCATGGTGGCAGGGCCGAGTCAGAGGCGATTAGAGGCAATCAGGCCAGCAGGGGAGGGCAGTTGGGGGCAATCAGTCCAGCAGGGGTGGGCAGCTAGGGGTGCTCAGGCCAGAAGGGGAGGGGGGCAGTTGGAGTTGATCAGGCCGGCAGGCAGAGTGGTTAGGGGTGATCAGGCAGGCAGGTAGGTGAGTGGTTAGGAGCCAGCGGTCCTGGATTGCGAGAGGAATGTCCAACTGCCGGCAGTTGGACATCCCCTGAGGAGTCCCAGATTGGAGATGGAGGCCAGGCTAAGGGACACACACCCCCATGCAAGAATTTTATGCACCAGGCCACTAGTATTAATATATAGGAAGCTGATAAAGCCATAGAATTGGTTAAGAAAATATACATGAATTTATAATGTGGGAAAGAAAGAAGGACATTAAAGGAACCATGGGAGCACTTTCATGTAAAAGTCAAGCAGAGAAAAAGGAATCAGTGAAAATACTGAGAACAGCAAACTGAAAAATCAGAGGAGAGCAGAGAAATTGAAGTCACAAAAGCTAAAGGAAGAAAACACTCTGAAATATTAATAGCATCAAGATGAAAGAGAAAGCAGAGAGGATAGAGCCTTTTTAAGAAGACTTTTTAAGATAGAGCCTTTTTAATTTAGCAATCAGGAGATCATTGTTGTTCTATTAGAGAATTTATGAAGAACTAAAAGTACCATATCATCTTCCTAAATAACTTCCTACTCTCTACACTATATATGATATAACACCATACAAGGTAGGGACAATTAATAAAAGTTGATGGATATAAAGACACACAGCCTTGCCTTAATTGGTTTGGCTCAGTGGATAGAGTGTTGGCCTGTGGATTGCAGGGTCCCAGGTTCAATTCAGGTCAAGAGCACATACTTAGGTTACAGGCTCAATCCTTGGCCCTGGTCAGAGTGCAGGTGGGGAGCAACCAATCAATGTGTCTCTCACATCAATGTTTCTCTCTGTCTCTCCCCCTTTCTTCCACTCCCTAAAAAATCAATGGAAAAATATCCTCAAGTGAGGATTAACAAAAAATAAATAAAATAAAAAATAATCAATAAAAAGATACACAGCTTTATCAGAACCCCTGTGTATAAAAGTTTTACTAGATATACTCAAAAATAAATTTGGAAAACACTGTAAGGAAAACATGTACTATATAAAATAACTGCATGAAGGGAGTCATCTCAAAAGCTTCTTTAATATCAAATGCTTACCTGACACATTTGTTTCTCAATTTTGTCAAGTAAGAGCCTTGGAACATCAATAGCAACGTTAGTTCCATCTAAAGTATACTGGTCAGCGAGACTGAGGACTGAACTAACAATTTCTCTCTCTTCTTCCAAAAACAGGAGAGTTTCATTCACTGAAGCCCACAAAGACCGAACCTTTGAAAACAGACAAACAAAACATATAAAGTCTACATGTAATCTGTACATACATGAAAGAAATGTAAAACACAACTTTACGCTTACTCCTAAGAACAAATGAAGTATTCCTGGAATGGCTTCTGGTGAGGAAATTAGCTAACTATATTTTACTTTTTTAAAAAAACTGTATTTTTAATAGTCTAAAATCACTGGTAGTATTTCCAATGGGGATTTTTTTATTTACATAGGAAAATACTTATAGAACTTTAATAAGTTATGTGCACACAGCTTTTAGAAAAGATTGCATTTTGTAATGAATATATATTTAGATATCTTGGAGTTGTATTTTTTTATGCTGACCCTTAAATTGTCATCGTTTTTCAAGAACAAGAGGTTTAAGACTCTTATAAATTGTAAACCAGAAAATGTTTACTAACCATTATCGCCAAGCATCTCAAAGAAGAGGAAGAGGGAATTCAACATGGACATATTTCAGGCAAAATGCCCCAAAAATTCAACAAAGTAAAATTAATAAAATTATTTAAAAATCTGATCCCCTAATTAAATTAGTTTCTTCTATTTATTCTTTTTAACATTCTCAAAGGGTTGTCAATAAACACTCTAAATATCTCTGAAGCTGTTTTAATGGTTTACTTGTTTTATTACAATCCTAAAATCCCAAGATGCATGCAATACAGCATGTAGCTGGTATCTTTTCTTGAGGTAAATTCAAGTATTTTGGCAAACTAATAAAGTTTAATAATAATAATAATCTCCAGCAGGGCTTTAAAACTAAAGAATTTCTCAGGAGAATCTAGCCCACTATGATTTTCAAAACAAATCTAAGAAGCCTTATACTACCAAGATGCAAGTAGTATTTCCTGTACTCTGACATGCTAGCAATCTAAGGAAGATTTTTCAGGAAGAAATAATAAAATATTTTCATGAGAAAACAAAAACAAGAATACTACACATTGCCCTGACCGCTTTGGCTCAGTGGATAGAGCATAGGCCTGCGGACTCAAGGGTCCCAGGTTCGATTCCGGTCAAGGGCATGTACCTTGGTTGCAGGCACATCCCCAGTAGGAGATGTGCGGGAGGCAGCTGATTGATGTTTCTCTCTCATCGGTCTGACTCTCTATCCCTCTCCCTTCCTCTCTGTAAAAAATCAATAAAATATTTTAAAAAAAAAAAGAATACTACACATTAATCATAAGTCATTCAAGTTTCAAAAAGTTAAAAGGTTTGAAAACCATGCTTTTTTTAAAATATATTTTTATTGATTTTCAGAGAGGAACGGAGAGGGAAAGACAGGTAGAAACATCAATGATGAGAGAATCATTGATCGGCTGCCTCCTGCACGCCCCGCACTGGGGATCGAACCCGCAACCCGAGCATGTGCCCTTGACCAAAATCGAACCTGGGACCCTTCAGTCCGCAGCCAGACGCTCTATCCTCTGAGCCAAATTGGCTAGAGCAACCATGCTTCTTTAAAAACAAGAATACTACACATTGCCCTGACCGCTTTGGCTCAGTGGATAGAGCATAGGCCTGCGGACTCAAGGGTCCCAGGTTCGATTCCAGTTAAGGGCACATGCCCAGGTTGCTGGCTTGATCCCCAGTAGGGGGCATGCAGGAGGCAGCCAATCAATGACTATCTCTCATCATTGATGTTTCTATTTCTCTCCCTCTCCCTTCCTCTCTGAAATCAATAAAAAATATATGTGTGTGTTTTTTAAAAAGATGCTGCGTTCAATAAGAATATTCACATGCACTAAACTGGAAGCTCCATGAGAAAAGTGACTTTGCCTGTTTTTGTCATTCCTATAGCAGCTGTAATATCTAGAAGAAAGCATAGCAAATGGCAGATGATCAATTACTCACTAAATGAACAATTATTTCCTGAGGATGGCACTCACCTTTTCCAGGGACAAAGTGCCTGAGCAGCCAAATTAATACCCAAAGAAGCATGATGGCCACAGAATCAGAACAACGA